CACTGAAACAAAAATTATGTTTCTATTATTAATGATCATTTTAATTGCCACTGTACTCGAGGAAGCATACAAAAGCATTGCTGGAGATTTGTCAAACAAAACAATTGCCGCTCGTGGATAATTTTTGTCACAAAAAGTTCGAAATTTCATTGGGATTCCCCGAACTTTATTATCCACTACATAAAGTTCTTGAGTCAAGGCTATTTTATAGCCTCTTTCAATAGCTTTAATATATAATTGATTTACAGCAGCTTTGGCGTAATGCAAATTTATTTGAACCATTTTAAAGTCTTCGTCACTTCTACTAGCCATAATTAGTACGACTGACTAAAAGATCCATTTGTCATTTGTGACAATGACAATTTTGATCTAAGCTAGAATGATCAACGCTAAGCTTCAGTTTATACTTTTCATTTGCCTCTTTACAATTAATGCATTTTGGAGTAGCTTTACACTCCTAATGTTTATGTCCAACTTCACCACACTTAGCACATATTTGCTGTTCTAGGCATTTTGTTTGAAAGTGCCCGTACTTTGAACACTTAAAACATTGAGTTACTTTCAAAAATTCTCTAATTCTAAGATGAGACCATCTTAAGTTTTCCTGCTTTTATAAGTTCTCTATATTTCTTAGCATCTACACTGGCCACCCAGTGTTTTTTGGTATTTCTACCTTTTATCAAAAATTTTAAGTCAAAACCACCATTTTCGAAGACGATATTTTGGTCTCTAATCATAATCTTAAGTTCTCTCGAGAAAGATCAGAATCTACATCATAAATAATAATTTTTGGATCTTTGTTAACAGGATGTTGAATTACCATATTGTTTCTAAGCAAATCATTTGATTAACCTCTGCTTCCAAGGCTTCAATATCAGAGAATTTGGAACATTCTATTAGAACACCTCCTTTATTAATTTTTCTTAGTCTTCCAACACCAATGTGTAATTGGGTGGGATTAATTGAGTTTACAATTTTTTGTCTCCTTGGAAGTAATTTCTTCTTCTTCTTTTTTTTTTTTTTTTTGATAGAGTAGAACTGTAAATTCTTCGGACCTATTTCTACTTATAGATCTATCTCGTGTGTTCTGCATTATTTTCTGAGTAAAACGTTTTGGATCTGCCACTGCTGCAAATGAAACTGGCTGAAGATTTGATAACATTTTTGTTTGCTCTTAAAGCGTTCCCTTAAGGATGACATTATCAAAAGTTTGTGTAACCAATAAATCATCAATTTGATATGCCATAGAAATAATTTTTCCTTTTGAAATATTCATGACTGTACTTGAGTCTTAGTCTTTCATCCCTTGATTTCCATTACTAGTTTTGATAAAATGAGTACCAAGTTCGCTTGGGGACTAAACACAAGGGAGGGGGACCTGCGACAAGCTGACCACTTGTTCAGGGCATATGCTTACGCACTGGGGCCCACGGTCAAGAAAGCAGATTTTGAGCACTGCAGGCCTTGGCCCATTAGGGCTGTTACACCGCAGTTTCTAAAGAACTTAAAATTGTTCGTTCATATACTAATAAAGCAGTAGACTCAACTGGCTCTCTGAATTTCTTGACAAATTTGTAAAGCCATTATTCAACCAGTACCCTTTTTAAAATAGTAGAATAATGCAGAAATCAAACGTACTTACAGTTTGATGATCATTTCGTACCTCTTATATCGTAGAAATAGTAATCCAAAAACCTGAAGCACGACGAGCCATGTAGACACACAAAAATGCAGACATCCATAAGTTCATCAAATAGTCTCAGAAACGTAAAGTGTGATGATATAAAATCACAACTGGAACACAATTAGCTTCAAAATGTCACAAAATGAAACATTATAAAACAGTATTTACCGAAAAAAATTAGCATATTTTCAGAAGCCGAAGAAAGCACAAACCAATATGGCGCGAGTATGTGCAGAGACTTCTTTGTAATGTATATAAAGAGTCTTGCAAGGAAAACACTTTATTTTTCTTATAGCAATCAAATCATGATGAATGCAATACATGGATTAAAATGTGTTTGCTGTAGCATGATCATAAAAATAGAAATTCAGATTGTATAATGAAAGAGTTACCTTTTGAAACTTTGTGTAATAGAAAAAAATTCTGTAAACTTTTGAAACTTTGTGTAATTTAAAAGTATTGAATTGTACTAATGGAGGATTTTGTTAGTTTAAAAATATTATCTTGTACTATGACAAGCCGCTTATGTGCCGCCTAAAATAGTTATTATAAAAAAGAAAAAATACATAATGATTTTAATGAGTCCATATAGTGTAATTTCATGAATCCAGCCAATAATCAATAATAACAGAGTTGAAGAACTTCATTTATTGCTTTTAAATTGCTTAGTTTGTTAATCTGTAACTGACAGATTAAATGTAACAGAAAAGTTATGTAAGCAAACGATAATTCTTAGAAATTGCCATAGCCTACTCATGTTAAATCAAAATGACATATGTAAAAAGAAAATGAAATATTTATTTTTGTGTTAAATCAGATTTATGTAAACACTGAATTGGGTGTATTTTAAATTCCAAGTGTCATATCTCCTTGCACAGATTTGTTTGCTTAATGTCATTTGAATAATTTTCATAACAAGATGAATCTTTCATGTATTTTTTCAAATAATTACCTATCTTTCTATCTATATAAATACTTGGGCCATTCATATACATTTCTAAACACAATATATTTTGTACTTCTTGCCCAGTGACAGTATGTGCTTTGCTTGGCATTGAGTTTGCTATATTTTAAATTTTCTGAAATATAATTTCAGAAAATTAAAATATAGCATATTTAATGTACTGAATAGTTTAGATATTTAAAAAATTCGTTTTTATTGTAGTAACAGCTTATTTTTTTTTATATGTAGGGGATATATTATGAAATCATGCCAGGAAGTTCATAATTTTCAAAATTTAAAATAAATTAAATTTCATTTATAAGCATGTTTGGGTTTTGTAGATTGAGTATATTTGATAAGGGTAGAATCAATTTCTTCTGCCCTTTTAAATTTCTTTAAAAAAAAGGTAGACTAAATAGTTATTTGTCCAATAATCTTTATCTGAAGCTTGACAAGCTAATGGCCAATAGATTTTTATGTACCATATAAGATTGTTAAAAAGTATTATTTCATTAATTTTGATAAAAGTTTGATGATTAATTTTGATGATAGTTTGATAAAAGGGCTTAAATCTTATTTACTGCTTTTAGAAATTTTATTTATTTTTAAAATGATTTAATTTCTAAGATATTTTGACTTTAAATAAAAGAGCTGTTTATATCAGAAAAATTTATTTCGTAGCTTAGTTATTCTGTCAGTGAGCTAAAACAGATTCTAAAATATTTGCTGTATTAGAGTGGCATATGAAATATTAATTTGATTCTTAAGGCAAATAAAAAAAAGTTCACATGCTATTATTATTAATAGCATGTGTATATGGTGTATATGGATCATCTAACAGTGTATATGGATCATCTATATTTTGTGGATTATATATATAATCATATGAGTTACTATGTAGTTATCTAATAGTATTTTCTTAATTGCATTTGGTAATGTAACTTTTTCATTTTTTAACCCAAAGAGGCAATTTGCCCAAAAGGGCTATTAATTTCGTTTTGGCATTTTGCATAGGTTCGCTATAAATGGCATTTCACTTTTCAGATTGTGACCAAATATTAGAGCCCTGCATTATATTTAAAGAAATTAAATAACTAAGAATCTGCATGAATATATGTATGTATGTTTCTTTCAGTGTGAAAAACAACAATACCTAGAGACATCAAATTTTGAATAACGTGGTCCTCCACTCGAATATGGGCATTTGGAAGCTCAAATTTGGAATTTGTTTTATTGTTTATTTCATATTTTGTAAAACTTTCATGAATTTTTGATTAACAAACTCAGTGATTTTAGAGTGAGTAATGGCAACACAGTATAGGAGGAGGGGGAAAAAACACTTTTATCACCAGCGCACGAGACTGTGTATCGGAAATTCTATAAATATGCTCTTTTAAAATTATTTTGTGATATTGCCATTGAATTGAAGGTGATGTTCTGTTATTGGGACCGGATTCAGAAACGTGTGAATGTATGCACGTATGTATGTATGTATGTATGTTCACATGTGTATGTATGTATGTGTATTAAAATTTGGTATACACACACATACATTTGTGCTTACATATATACATGCATACATAACACATTCATCCATACACTTCTGGATCCAGTCCTGATTACAGAATAGTACCGAACCGAATTTTATGGTTTAAGTGGGAAGAATGTGATATTTAATAAATAATGGTAACACACTAAATGTTTAAAAAAGAGGGGGGTGACTTTTAAGATTTTTCTAAATTTATGTTTTTTTATATTTTTCTAAAAGCTGTAAGTAATTCCATGGCTTGTGGTGCGAAGAGGAGTATTAAATTTAACATACTTGTGTTTTGTCTTAGACCGAGAGCTACTTTAGGCAGAGGAAATGGTAACTTGTCAATAAATATCTGCCTTGCTATTGTCCTTAACTTTCAGCAAGTAATTTTTGACGTGCTCATATGTTTTGATTTATTATTTTCTTCATGGATGCTCTGGGATTTATTGAATAGTAAAATAGAAAGTATACTGTTTATTTATTTTTGCTGTTCCTAATAACAAATTTTAATCTATAATTTTATAAAATGATATCTGAGAAGTATCTGCTGGGGGAGGAAAAATTTCATGAAATAAGTGAATAAAACCAGTACTCAGATCACTGCTCAGATTATTTAGGCACTTACTAAAGCTTTCAATCTGGGATAAAACTCAAATATTAATTTAAAATTTAGGGGATTATTATCAATTCATCTTAATAATGTGGTACAAAGTTATGATATTCATATAATTTGCAATTTTTTTATGTAAAAATTTCTGAAATTATGACTTTTAATGAAAGTATAATTTAATCCCTTTGTGTCAATAATTGTAGTGTAACTGATGATCTTATTTTTACAGATTGGCCCATGGATGCTGCTCAACTTGATTACAAGGAAGAACTTACATTAGAAAGAAAAAGACAACAGTTGCAAAGAGAATTGGAACTGGAACTTCAGAAAGAACGTCTGTTGAATGAAAATGTGACTATAACCAAAACAGTAAGATTTTCATTGATGGCAATCTTTTGAATTCTGTTTTATTGGGTTTATATAATCTCTAAATGATTATGATTTAAATCTTATGTAAATTATTCTAGCACTTGTGTAGACTTTACAATTTTTTTTTTCCCATGCAACATAGAAATAAAGGGGGGAAAAAATACGGTTTAGAAAATTAAAGGTTTATTACCTGGTATTACTTTCCTTTAAATGTCTTTAATTTTAAATATAATCTTTGTGCCTTACAATTAATCTTTACTTGGATTTAAAATATAGAATATGCACTCTAATAAATTTGTTATGGATAATATTTTTGTGTCCGTCTTATAACTGAAACAATTTCTGTATATTTTGAGATTTTGTTTTATCTCCAGTCATTGCATAAATCCATCTAATTGAGTCTTTATATTCTGACTTTAATTTAATTTTTAGTGCTAGTACAACCTTTTTTCTAAATTTATTAGTTATAATTTATTAGTTATTTATAATTTATTATATAAATTTATTATTTATTAGTTATTAGTTTTTCCTACATGGTACAGATCTATTATATGCTAATCTTTATTTACTTTTTGATATGTATCAGAAAATTTTATTACTGTTATAATTATAAAATGGTTTGTCATTGGTATTTTTTCTTCTGTTTCATTGTCTTTGAATTTTAATTGTATGTAGTCTTCAATATTAATTTTTTTGCAATAATAACAAGCAAGCTAGTAAGCACTAAAAGCCTTTTCAATGTAATGTTTAACTTCGTATCTGGACCTTAAGATTAGTTGATTTAGTCACAGATTTTGAGATTGAATAAACTTGAAATCACCATACAAAATGTTCTAAATAACTTATAATGACTTCGTGGTTTAACCCCTTCGAGCCGGGTGGCGAAAACGCGCATTTATCGCGGAGGCCGGCAGTGTCTTCCACGAGCGTCTCTCCAGGGCCGGGGGCTTTTTTGCTACTAAGCCTAAATCCATAAAATTTCCGAAGTATCAACGCATTGTTTAATAATGCTCTATAGAGTATTTAAACTGCTTATGCTTTATAAATATTTTTATATATATACTTTAATTACCTTATTTCTTGTTTAAATGCATATTTTACACATTTTATTTTAATTACTCACCATTTTATGACTTTTAACATTATACATCTGAAAACTAAATATATTACTTAAAATTCTCTTTTTGTATGAAAAATTTTAAAACAGGGATCTACACACAGTCCTACGTTACATTCCTTGAAGTCGTAATAACTCATTTGCCGTTTTGGAGGATTTTTCCAGGAATGTAAACAAACGAAGCATCGTCGTCTCATTTTCTTATCAGTCTCTTCTGAACAAAGTTTTGGAAAATGTCTTTCAGTTAATCTTTCAGAATCAATATCAGAATTTCAGAATCAATATCTGAAATATTTTGCATCATTTTTTGCTATTTCATGCTCTGTTAAACATTTTCGACGCTTCGACATTGAAACGGTAAAAACATAAAGAATTCATGTCTAACAAGATCTAATTATTTTCTATAAACTGAACTGTAAACTGAAATACTCAACGCTTTAGCGCATATAAAACTTCTACTTACAATAAACAACTACCACGTGCGATTAAAGTGCGATTTAAAGAGATGTCATAAATCACGCCATTCGGAAACGTTTAGTTCCCCGTTTGTTTATATAATCAAAAACGCGTGTATGTGAGTCATGCTTCTCTCATTTCGAGTAGAAGGTCTAATGTACATGTATCTGAAACCATATGGGCATACAGTGCCATCTTGTGGCAGAAATTATAGTTTGAAAAGCGTTCCAAGGTACTGGCACAAATACGTGACAGTCGGTAGAAAATGCAACAATGCTCTGGCATGCCTGCATGTCGGCCGGTAGATAAGTGTATTCGTTGCTGGCACGTATACGTGACAGTCGGCACAAAGGGGTTAATAAGGCACCATTTAGCAAGATGAAACAAACATTTATTAAAAATATGGTTCAAAGCATAATAAATAAACTCAAAGCAGTATGTTGCTCTTACAGCATAGAGAAATCTACAACCTTCTTCTTCTGAGGCTAACACGCAACTCTCAATACATTAACCCTTCTTGGAGAAGAGCTGCATGCGGCAAGCACGCTCTGTCGATCGCCAAACAGTTGCCAGATATCACACCCCCATCGTAAGATTGTTGTTGATATTTACAAATCAATCAGCAATTTGGAAACTAAAATCTAGCAACTGTTTGCGATCAATGAGAAAAAAAAAAAAAAAAAAAAACTACATATGCATTTATACATTCTACCCTAAATTTCAAATCTCAACTACTATAGACATTTGCATTATAATACCTACAATTGCACATCAATTTACTACATAAACATATATAAACATAGATAACACATTTTTAACTTCACTTCTTCCGACTATTATTATTATTGTAACAATTTATCAATTCTTAACCCAAAGAAACCAAGTGGATATTTTTCTTTTATAAACATGTTACAATATACCCTAGTATTATTCCAATGATGACGGTAAAATTATTAAGCTTCTTATATATATATATGTATAAAATTCTATTCGTAACGTTCTCTTTAATTAATGATGCTGCAGTATGATATATATCCTTGGGAAACAAATATCTAAATTTACCACTTACTTCGAATATTTGTTATCCAATAATTTTTCTATCTATTTCAACTTACATAAACATCTTATTTGCACAAAATTGTAAAATTATTAAGAAAAGCAAAGAAAAACTATCTAATTGTTAACTATACAAAATGTTCGTGAAGATGAACAGTAAATTAATGTTCAAAGTTCACAGGTGGGGAGTCTGGATAATGCATCTGCATTCGACAGTTTTTTTCCAGGGCAATGTTCTATTTCAAGATTATACTTCTGCAACGTTATGGCCCATCATTGTAATTTGGACGATTGCGGAGCATTTCTCACTATAAAGGCTAGAGGATTATGATCAGTCACAATTTTCACCAATGAACCGAATATCCAAGGTTCAAACTTCTTCAATGCCCATATAGGTGGTATAGGTATTTCTCCTGACCATGAAGACTTCAGTACTGGTAAAGGACCTTTTGGTTGTCTTCCGTACATCAGCTGAAATGGTGAGACACCCGTGGTGCAGTTTGGTACTTCTCTGTATGCAAAGAGCAGATATGGGATGTGCTTATCCCAATTCGAAGGATCAGTCCTGATGACATGATGTAACGTTTGCTTCAAGGACTTGTTCCATCTTTCTACTAATCCATTTGAAGCACTGTAAGCAGGTGTAGAGACCTAGTCTTTTCTGGAATTCTTTAGTTAATTTTGAAACAAAGTTACTTCCGTTGTCACTAGCTGTTGTATTAGGGATTCCTGTTCTCATGAAAATCTCCAAAAGTGCGTCGCAAGAGTCTTTTGCTGTCAAGCTACTCATTGGAATGGCTTCTAGCCATCGGGAATGTTGATCTACCAGGCATAACACATATTTATGTTTCCTAGCAGAGGGAGGTTCAATAGGTACAATAATGTCGATGTTAACTGCTTCAAAAGGTAATCCTGGCCTTCTGACCGGTGTGACGGGAATCTTATCAGATTGCTTTTCTGGACTCTTCAACTGACAATCTTTGCATGTTTTACAAAAGGTTTCGACATCTTGTGCTAATCCAGGCCAATAAAATGAATATCGTGTTCACTCCTTTGTTTTCCTTATTCCAAGATGTGCACCGAAAATGGAACTATGTGCTAATTCCAACACTTGTGCTCTTCAATTAAGTGGAAGCACTAACTGAAAAACAGTCTATCCTAATATTTTTTCTTGTTGATGTAACAGATGATCTATAAATAAATAATTTCCTTCTTTTTTTATAGCTAGCTTCCATGCTTCTCTCAGCGAGGGACAGTTAGCTTGTTCTTCACTTAGGCGTTCAGCAGATGACAAGTTGGTGTTTATGTAAGCACTCGCCTTCTCCCCTTCCTCCTCTTCATTTTTCTCCTCCATAAGCATTAGCGGGGGGCTCGACGATGTCGTTTGACTGTGCATTGGCGAATAAACTTTGCACGTTTTCGCTTCCGTAATTATTTCTTTCTGCATTTGATTCTTCTGCCGCAGGATTAATCAACAGTTCGTGTATTTCTGGTGTTATTAGGCAAGGCACATTTAACTTATCAGTCACTGCAATTAATGTATCCACAAAATTAAATATATTGCTTCCATGATCTTTATGGTAAATAGGTACACGGCAAACTTTTGCTTCAATTGGTTGTCCGAAAGCAGATGTTAGCAATATTTTACCTCCTTCCTTCTCCTCTAAATTTGGAATGAGCGATGAATGTATGATCCTTATCTGCGTTCCAGAGTCTACGATAGCTTTAATTTTCTCAGAGTTAATAAAAACCTTTACTTTTTGCAGTAGTTGAATGATGCGTTCTGCGAATTCGGATCATAGATGGGATGAGTCTACTTTAGCTACGACGGCTTCTTCTTTTGATGTCCTGATTGAATTTTTTTGAGTTTTGGAATCATCCTTTTCCTTCTTATTTACTGCAGTTTCGTTCTTTCTTCTTTTGTCTGGGCAATCTCTTGCGATGTGTTGATAGTTTCCACAAATATAACATTCTTTTCTTCTCGTGTAAGATCCTTCTTGTTTCGAATATTCTCTTCTCGTGTGCGGCGGAATATATTTATCTTGTGTGCATGTTATATCCAGGAATCTCGGTGATCATTTAATTCCATTTCGGACTTCGTCAAAAGATTTTCTTTTGGCCGTGAAATAAATATCTCATTCTGTAGCTAATTCTTGCGGCTTCAACCATTTATTTCCTTGGCGTAAATCGACGTGTGCAGCTGTTTCGTCATCTAAAACTTGGAATAATTTATCCGAAATAGTTAACTCCTTGAGTGTTTCGAAATCCTTTACTTCTCTTGACTTGCAGTAATAGTTCCATGTAGCTGTTAGTCTTGAAGCGAACTCGATATGCGTTTTGCCGGAATTACGTTTAGTTCTTTTGAAGTTTTCTAAACAGGTTTGAGGAGTGGTTGGTATTCCTTCAGAACAAGAGTTTTCACTTTTTCATAATTTTGCAGATTTTCCTCCTTTATATAAACAAGAACATTTGAAGCTTTTTCTGCAATTAATTTCAATAATATTTCCAATTTGTATTCTTTGGGAACCTTCTTGTGCTTAAATGCTCTTTCGATAGAATCAAAAAATATATTCCATGCTTCTGCTCTCTTCGTCACTGGTATAGTCAGTGTTTCTATTCCTTTGATCAGCTTGTCGAGGGAAATTTCGGTTTCTCCTCCTTTGTTTTCGATTGAAGGTGTCAGACTTCTACTTCCTTCATTTTGTGTTGCTCGAATCTTCACTAATTCTGTTTCGTGTTCTCTTTTTGTTTTTAATCTTTCTTTTTCCATTTGTATTCTTTCGGTTTCTTCTTTTCTTTTTCTATTCTCCACTGTAGTAATCAGAATTTCTTTCACAAACTCAGCATCTTTGGTGTACTCCTTGCTATTCTGGAGTTTGTGCTCTGTTCTACCAGCTTCAAATCTGGGGATGCTTCTTCACCAATTTCCAATAGAACTGTTATTAAATCCTCTTTCTTTGCGTTTTTGAACATTTTCTTTTATCTTCCTTTGGAATCAAGCTTTTTGAACTCACAATTAAATAATTCTCATGTTTTTACTCCCTTTTGCAAATGTGCACTTCTTTCGTGAGTTAGGCTTAACTCCACTTTCATTTTCAACGCTCTAAGCTTCTAACCTCTCTGGTGATCTTGTAAGAGAGCGTGTTGTAATGACTTCGTGGTTTAATAAGGCACCATGTAGCAAGACGAAACAAACATTTATTAAAAATATAGTTCAAAGCATAATAAATAAACTCAGAGCAGTACGTCGCTCTTACAGCATAGAGAAATCTACAATCTTCCTCTTCCAAGGCTAACACGCAACTCTCAATAAATACCTTAACCCTTCTTGGAGAAGAGCTACATGCGCCAAGCACGCTCTGTTGATTGCCAAACAGTCGCCAGATATCACATAACTACATAAATAACTAAAAGCATAAAAAATGCACAACAAATAAAAAAGTGCATAAATTCCCATTTACACATTAAATAAAACACAAATGTTTGCATAAATTGTAAAAATACATTAATGCACATGAAATAATTGGTAAATAATTGATTGCATGTAAATTTAGCTTTAAACAAAAAATATAAAAAATTACCAAAATGTATTAGATTTGTGCAAAAATAATGGTTTAGATTTTTACTGAGACTAATATGAACACGAGTTTTTAATTGTGAAAGCTCTCAGTGGATATTAAATATGAATTATGCTATTTTTTAAAAATGGATTGAGGTGCTATACTGTTATTTTATATTTTTATGGTATTTAATTTCATTTTTCCTAATTGTTTGTTGTATTAATTTCAGTGCTCTGTTGTAGGAAATAGATTACATTTGTTGTTGAATTAATGTGTATGTAAGAGAACTCTTTAATCATTATTATCAGAACCTTATCTGAATCAGAACTGCATATATTTTTAAGGGGGGGCACATCTAAAGAATATTTTTATATAATACGAGGGCTATCCAGAAAGTAGATTACGTTTTGGAATAAAAAAATAAACAAAGTATAGGAAACAAATTTTATTATATACAGATGAAAGCCACACTCAAATACTACTTTTCTACATAGTCACCATACAAATTAAGGCATTTATCGTAGCGATGTACGAGCTTGGAAATTCCTTCGTCGAAAAATTCGGCCGCCTGCGCCTTCAACCACTTCGTTACCTCTTCTTGCCTTCCATCTTGCACAAAACTTGTGGTAACCAAGCTTTTCGCTGATGATTTCGTGCAACAAACTTCGCGAAATTTGTGGAAAACTCAAAGAAAGTTCCGTTATTGTGAAATTTCGATTTTCACGGACTTTAGCATCGACTTTTTCGAGAAGTTCGGCGGTCACTATGCTGGGTCTCCCACTTCGATCTTCGTCGTGAACATTGGTTCGGCCATTTTGAAATCTTATGACCCACTGACGCACTCCACCTTCAGTGATAATGTTGTCCCCATACACTTCACGAAGCTGCCGATAGATTTCTATCGGTTTACAGTTTTTTGCAGTCAGAAACCTTATTACTGAGCGCACCTCGCAGCTCGCGGGATTTTCAATTAACGCAGACATTTCAAACCGTCACAGTATCTGAACGGAGCACAGCACGAACCTCTCACTAGCACGGCTAGATGCAGACTGAGCTGCGCAACGCTCTGACCCCAAGATGGCCGCGCTAGCCCCGCCCCTAGCGGACACAGACGGAAACATAATCTACTTCCTGGATGGCCCTCGTATATTTTTTGTAATTTAGAGGTTATGGCAAATTTTTATTAAAAATATTATTTGGCCTTTATTTTCATTTTTCAAAAATATTTGAGTGTGTATTGATTGAGAAATAATTGCATGCAAGTTCTGAAGATGATCTTATCTGCATAAATAACATAAAAAAAATAATTTTGTTGCAAATTTTGCAGAAAGTATTGATTATAATTGATAAATTTCAAAGAGTTTCATTTTTTTATATTAATTGCAGTTAACATATAATATTTTTAGATATCATTCAGTGAAAGTAGCAGTAGTAGTAGCAGTAGTGATAGTGGAAGCATATCTAGCAGTTCAGAATCCAGTAGTAGTAGCAGTGATGATGATAGTGATGAAAGCAGTTCATCTTCTTCTTCTTCCTCATCAAGTGGATCTCGTGCACCAACAAAGAGAAAGAGCAAAAAGTCATCATCTATGAAAGATTCAATTTCAGACAAAAATCTGGATGTAAAACCAAGGGATGATTATGATAAAATAAAAAGCAGTCGAGCTTCAAAAGCTCAAAAACATAGAAGTCCATCTCCACCTTTCGAGGGAAGAAGTAGCAAAAAAGGAAGAGATAAACGTAAAGTTTCTCCACTTTCACCTAAAAGGAGGTTTCCTGAATCTAGGAGTGCAAGTGGTGGCAGATCTAGTTTAAATATTAGAATAAGAGGTCCAAGAACTCCAAGTCCTGTTGTTTCATCTCGAAAGCAGAGACAATGGTGAGAAGTGGAAATTTTTGCTTTTTTATTTTTGCTATTTATCAAAAATGTGATTTTTTTTTTTTTTTTTTTTTTTATTTGACTGGTAGTGTCAGTAGGTTGCACTATTAGTTGATCAGTAGGTAATATTTTTATCCTCAGTTGATTTTTTAACATTCTATATACCATGTTTAATAACTGGCAAGGAATTTCCATTATGCTTTATTTAGATTTTGTTGGTGTCAAAAGGCTGTTGCTGTAGCATAAAGATAAGGCAGATAGTCTTTTCAAATATAATGACAAAGACTTATGATAAACATTATAATGCTCCAAAAATATTAGATCATTTCAGCTATGTTTCTTGTAGAATATGTTAATAATATTTAAGCATTAAAGGAGTATATCTTATATACTCTGAAATTTCTTATACGTGTAATCTAATAAATACATTATTGAGAAATGAGAAACTGAATTTTAATACTTTATTGAAAAACATTTAAATATTTTGAAATACTAGCTTTTATAAATACTTTATATGTGTGTATAAATATGTCAGATATAACAAAATATGGTAGCTGTTTAAAAAAATAATTGGTGACCTCAAAATTAACATTCTAAATTTGGTGATCTTCCCCTAAATTCATCTTACTCTCACACATTCCAGATTTTTCTGTCTTATGTAACGTTTTAATGCAGATGCATCTTATCCACTCAAATTAATTGTAAACCAAAACTCTGAACTGAAACTTTTCCGACTCCCACCCTTCTTCCTCTGAAGTTCTATGATACTCTGCCCTCTTTCTGCATAAGCTCTCCTGCCGGCAAGATGCTTTTTATGTATGGTGCTGCCACTTACTTGCTTAAAATGACGTCATACTTCAAAATGCAATGTACTGTATTCAGATATAATTAGGTCTTGTCTGAAATCTTGTCTGAAATATCTTTATCTGAATAATCTTGTCTGAAAAAGTATGATTGATATATGTCATTTTTCAAGATACGTTGTGCTAAATTGCAACATTTCCACTCTGCCATCTTCAACCCACTACGATATTCTCTGTCATCTATGCAGTATCGTAAACTGTTAAAAGTTCCTCTGTTTTCATCTATGCATTTTCAAATCATTACATGTACATATATGCGGGTGCACTATATGGCAGTATACAGCCAACTCGTGGTAGTGCATTTCTTGATATAACAATCAGCCTTGATATAAGGACTTAAATAAAAATTAGCTGACCTCCCATCAGCCTAATGTAACTTAGTTACATTAATGATGTTATGAACCATTGTTTGTTAAATTGCTTTACATTGGCATTCTTTAATTTTTAAATAAGGTAAAGCATGAGTGATTTTTTGAAGGAGAGATAATATTTTTCCCCCTAAAGTTTGTTAATGAGCAAATTTAAATGCGGTTATGTAAGCTTGTTTCCTAGCAAGTTTACGCCAAGTTATAATATTACAATTTACTAAAAATGAATATTTTGGGGGATTAATAATAAGCATAAGTCAGATAACTTATCGTTTTTCCTCCTCTTGAGTTGAATAATGTACCTTTTTCTAACTTCTCTCTCTGCATAACATACCAATGCAGCAGATTTCTATTGATTCGACAGTGTGAGCATTGTGGTTTGTTATTCCTCCTCATTCTTATTTTCTGCTACCATTGTTTGAAATTTCATGAAAATTAATCATTTAAAGTTCAAAAAGTGTGAACATGAATAATTCCGCATATCATAAAAGGAGTTAAATTAGTGTCAGATTTCTGTATTATTAATTTTTGTTTAATATTGATATTGGATTGCATAAAATAGTTTTTCTAAGAATATTACTAGGCATATTTTTACTTAACCCTTTGACGGTTATGGAAATGAGCAGTTTCCGTTTACTTCGCGCAGCATTAGGAGTTCCGTTATTCGCGCAGCATTAGGAGTAAACAGTAGTCGAAAGTGGCAGCTGTTTTCCCCCACCGTTCTTCCAAAAATGTCACCTTTCTCTGGCGATGCCGTAGATAGCTCGCCTCGCGCATTTTAAAAATTTCTTAAAGTATTTGTAGTACATAAATAACAGTTTTTACGTACTTTAAAATAATTATTAAACAGTAAATTATAAGTGATTATAACCAATTATATAAATAATAATAGTTAATTATAAATATAAGACAAATATTAAATTGAAAGGACTAAATAAATACAACTAATGTAAAACTTTATGAAGCACAGTATAAATACAGTAATTACCTAAAAATCTTTTTGTGTGTGATATACTTTAAAACATGGAATTGCACATAATGGGCCATTACAGTCTTTGCAAATTGTATGTGTTTCACGGCGAATTCTTTTTCCATTAGCATCATTTTTGCTGCAACATACCACACATCGTCTAGTAGGTTCTTTCTAATAGAGAATTTCAGAAATATTTGTCACGCAAGCTTTCATGCCTACATCACCAGTAAAACTAAATCGGCTAGGAGCGTGAGAACTTGAATCAATTATACACCACTGTCGAACACTCGAAAAATCTTCCTCATTGCTTGAATAGTCTTCTGAGCTTGAAATACTGTGAACAAAGTTTTCATCAGATTCAAAACTTGATAAGCTTTCTGTATCACAATCATAATCATCATCATACCTATCTAACTTTCGCTTTTGAGCCATTTTACTGTACAAACACCCTAAAAACCGTGCCAAAATACGTATAAAATGAACAAGGTAAAAAAAAAAAAAAAAAAAAAAAAAAAAAAAATCCACCTTCATTATGCAAAGAAATCCATGGAACTCGTACTGCCATCTGTAGACAGTAAAACTAACTAAATTTCGCGAGTAACATTCCTTTGAAACACAATCAGTGCAGAATAATAATGGCGAACGAAGTCAGCTCGTCAGCGCGCATTGGGGAAAAATTTCACTGCGCGAGTAGTGTTCGTTACTAATCATTTCGGTCAAAATCTTGCTCCCGAGCGGAACTCGTTTGCGTGCATTATGAAGCACGATTCGATTGCGAGCTGAACTCGTTCATAACCATCAAAGGGTTAATAGTTGAATTGGAAGAGAAACATGTTAATGTAAAATTTAAAATTAAGCAAAAAAAGAAGCAACTTTAGTTTGATGTAGATTTTTAAATGAAACTGTATTGATTTTGAAGGTGATCATACACAAGTTTCGTTTCTTCAAGAACAAACATAAAAGAAGGGTAATGGAACCTAAATTTTAGATATGGTATGTGATATAAGACTGCTGAGGTTTTAGGTGTGTCCTGTAGTTCTGTAAAAGCTGTTAAGAAAAATAAAGGATGGGATGGATTTGAGTTTAAAATGAGATTGGGATTATTTACATTATGGTATAACATACAAGAGATATCTGCCTGAGGACAAAGATGCCTTTGTGGAGAACGTTTTAAGGGAAATTGTATTCATACGATACATGGGGAAAGCTATGAAAACTCCCTTGCAGCAGGTCTGCTTTGACATTTGAATTTGAATCAAACTACCAGTGTGACGGTGGTTTCACCGCTCAGTCACCAATGGCTCGAGTCTAAAATGGAAGAATACATAAGGTCATCATTGAAATTCTGTGCTCGGAACATCAAAAGAAATTTTCTTTTAGAATCTGAAAAATGCTGGTATAACTCTTAATTTAATTACGTTATGACAGAGAACTAGTCGGCAGTGATTAAGAGAAAACAGCCTGCTAGCCAATATATATCTTATGTGTATATAAAATAGCATTTTATGTTTTCTCTGTTATTGTTATGTTGTAACAAGGAATATATGCTAAAATAATTGTGACTGGCTGATTTTTCCAATCTAGTCTGTGTATCTAAAACAAACAAAAAATAGTAATAATAATAATAATAATAATAATAATAATAAATGATATTAATGCATTTAATTAAACCAAACAATTCTGTATCAAGGATATAATAGCTTAAAAATCTGATAAACTGTACTGTGCAGGACCTTGGGTTGTGAAGATTACTAAATTTTGAAGATTATGTGTCATATCTTTCTATATTTTGTTAACATTTTTTTCTCTTTTAATTTTTACACTAAGAGTGATGATACATTTTGAAGGGCTTGAAAAAGCCACTTTTTATTCACACTCTAAATAAAGACAAACTAATCTTCATAATTTAATTCACAAGCTATAATTGGCAGTTTGTATTAAAGTATATATATATTTGTAATTAGTGTAAGTAGGATATGTAAAATTTTCTTATTTAAAGATGATAAATTAATTAGGTTAATGGAATTTATGACTAATCTTTGATTCAATGCAATTCTCATTATGCATGTGCACTTAATAATTTCAAAATTCTGAGGACGTGTCCCTTATATGTCTTTCTCACTTTTATATACTTTTTCCCCTCGGTCTCTACAGAGTTATATAAATGAGAGATGGCTGTATTTGGAAAAGTAGTGTATGAAAATAACATTTGCTTAGACAACTTTTTTTTCTTTTTCATCAGCTCCAATAAATAATAAGTATAGGAATCTGATATGTATTAGAAATCATAATACCTAAGAACAAATATGAATGTCTTTCTAATAAAATTCTGTCTTTTAAAATATCTATTTTAAAATTTTATGGGAGGTCAATTGGTCTTTGATTCCAATGTATATCTTATCCAAGTTTAATGGTTACACATGCAAAAAATATTATTTTCAAGTAGTGTAAAGTAATTGTTAATTTTTTTTTCCGGCATAACTCTTTCACATCGAAGTTGCCCAAAATGCTGACCATTTAGACATCAGCAGGTCACCCGAACGCCTGAATTATTTTCTACCTGGTGCTTTCCTTATCATATTAGTGCATGGACCATTGCTTATGAATGTGTTAAATGACATGCCAGGCATTCTTTTGAAGCGACTAAAAGTAGCTCTGTTATTTGATGCAGCTTTATTCTCCTTTGTTTATTGTCAATGTTTAGCTATTGATGCCTGAAGTTGCAATCCTGTCCTAAGGAAAAACGCCACACAGTGGTGAAAGAGTATGACAATCCCAATAGAGAAATTTTCTTTTTACTGTGTAGAGACATTAGGTTATTTCGAGAAGACGTGAAAAAATGAGAAACGCCTTTGCCGAGACTCGAACCACGGACTTCTTGAATACGCGCCGAGCGTGCTGACCACTACACTAAGAAAGTGGGAGAAATACCTTATAAACTCCCCCTCTGAAGGGAAACTGGGGTTTTAGGAAATCCAATCGCCAAATCCTAGTGGTGAAGAATCATCATTCACCACCTTTTAATTTAGGTGGCACTTAGAGACATTATGTTATTTCAAAGCAGGAGACATGAAGAATGAGCAACGCCTTTGCCAGGACTCGAACCACGGACCTCTCGAATATATGCTGAGCGTGCTGACCATTACACTACGAAGGCATGCTAAAAAGGCGGGAGAAGTACCTTATAACTGTAGTAGGTTATTGTTAGCATTCTATTTGGCATGGGGGGAAGGAAATCCATTCCAACAAAAATGCTATGTACGAGTGTCATATGTTTGAGTGAAACAGATTTTGGCCTCTACCAATGTGAAAGAGTTAACCCATTAGCCACTGGTGTTGCGTTGACGCAACAGTCAAAATAAATGCGTATATAAATATAACTACCTAAGATATTTTATACCAGCAGACGATTTTGTGTAGGGAATATTATGAGGATTATTTTTTGTAAACAAATATTTGCCTTCAACAATCATTTTGTTTATAATAATTAATATCATACTTTAAGCAAAACTTTCGACCAGGTATTTTTGCTGAAAATATTTAACGAAAGAATCGTCGTCTTTATGAGTGATCTATTTGTAGTCAAGGTCAACGTTTATCAGAACATTACATCAGTCAGATGTTTATATTTGCGTTGGGAAGGAAGGGAAAACAGGTGTTGCGTTGGCACAACGTCAGCAGGAAACGGGTAGTCAATCTCCTTTTTCACTCATTCCTTTCGATGTTCTGGTTGTTTAAAAATGCCTAGAACAAAGTATCTTACATTAGAAGAAGCCCTTCAAAGATTTTTTGATGAAGAAACAGATGATGATAATGTTAATAATGACCAGAATGAAACTGATATTGTTGTTGTTCTCCCAGAAATTGCAGAGGCTAGTGACGAAGAACAAAGGAATGGCATTGTTTTAAATAATGATAATGATATTTTACCAAATGATACTGCTGAGGAAGTTGAAATCTACGTAAGAAGTAAGTTTCAGCCTTCTAAAAGCAGTTATAGTCATACTAAAAAGTTTAAAAAGCAGAAGACAGAAATCTTGAAGTGGATAAAAAAGGAACTGTTAGTTATGTCTCGGGAAGAACATGAAGAAAGAGATAGAAGAGAAATTATATAAAAGACAAAACACAAGGTAAAACTAGTGCACAGATTTTCGATTTTCTTTTTGGTTTAGACATTTACTCTCTTCTCGTTGAACAGACAAATATGCATGCTCTCAGGGGGGGGAAACAGAATTTTTTGCATCTGAAGCCTATATGAGAAGATTTATTGGAATATTATTGCTTACAGGATATCATTCTTTACCTCAAGAAAAATGTATTGGTCTTTTGATAAGGACATTTCTGTTCCTGTTGTATGAGAATTGATATCATGTTTGCAGTACAGGAATATGAAGCAGAATTTGCATTTGACAATACTGATAAATTATATGAGGTGAGACTGTATCTAAACTTACTAAATATCACCACTTTTTACTGCTGGAAATATAAAGTCTCTTTTAGATTTCAGACGCGAGAATGCATTATTCCTTTTGCAAACTCCTATTGAGAGTCTAGAAGTAGCCAGAAATAGATCAGCAACAGGAAGACCTAGTAAATTTAGCATTCAAAAACCATTGCATGGAGATGGTAGACATTTTATCGTAAAGTCCGTTGATAACAAAAGTGTTGTAAAGAGTACCCTAGCCAGACTGTTTATAGACGCAAAATATGTAATGTAGCTTTACATCATGATTGTAATCAAGCTTTTCATGTTTGAATCTTTCAAATGAAATAATCTGTATTTGTAAAAGAAATACAATGTGTATTTTAATATTAAATTAATTACAAGTAAAGTGATTTGTAGCTATATAAAACGTTATACAGCTAAAAAGCAATCCTGCGCTCCACTCCAAAGAAACATCACACAAGTACAATCCTACTCACTCAACATCCGTAGTCTTATTCCGCTGACGTTGCGCGAACACTTTTTCCACAGATAAGATAATTTTTTTTTATTTTCAATGTAAATTTATATTATAAATGCTTAATTTAATATTTGTTATTATTTTCATGAGAAAAGAAACATTCCTTGTAGTTTTTGGCAGTTAATGGGTTAAAGGACAGACGTGCAACTTCCATAGTGGGAAAAGCTTACAATTATTGAGAGAAGTGAATGATTAGGATATTCTATCATACTTGTCAAGATAAGTTTGCAGTCTTTTTGTTGAAGTGAATTACATTTAAGATGCTTTCTGAATTATCCGTAATCTGGGTTTCAGTATCCAATATAATTATTGTGTTTTTGGTGTATTTTTGAGTATATGTGCAAAAGTAGTAAATCTACGCATATGTATGCCACATTACAAAAGTAGTAAACCTATACATATGTATGCCACACTTTTATGTTTGAGCACATGTAGATATATGTGTTTTATTGTGTTTTACTCAATAATTGAGAATGCAAAAGTTAATGAAGTTGATGACTTTTGTGCAGGTGCAGGTAATCAAATATTAATTCAGCTGAGATTCAGATTAGGCTCTCTTTTAGTTATTTATTTTTTTCATGTGTAATTTACATAAATGCAACTATGAAGTAAACTTTAATTATAACCTTATTTTCTGTCTTTCTTCTTTATTAATAATTTTTCTGAATCTTTCTGTAGCTAATTAAGAGGTAGTTTATACATCTACATTCATGAGGCAATAAAATTTACTAAAAACTGTAAAAAGAAAAAAGTGAAAGACAATTGATATTCAGTTAAAGTTAAAATTAAAAAAAAAAAAAAAAAAAAAAAAAAAGTCCTTTAAATAGTTATTAATTCTGATGAAAAATAAAGTTGGGTTTCATTATTTTAATTCTAAGATTCCTTTAAAATAATTATAAACTTTGATAAAGAAATAAAGTTGGGTTTAATTCTTTCACTTGGTTTTCTTATTTTTTTAAAGGGCCCAAAGTTCCTCGGCGGATAGCAGATCGGCTGATGTACAGCGTAGTCGAGGTAAAAGACACAAGAAGAAAAAAGATGTTCCTAAAAGTGAAGTAAGTACTTTTTTATGACTTTTTGCAATCGTTTTCTTTTATATGGGCATCAGAATTTCTTAAATACATTTTTCCTTCTCCATTTAGAAGTATAAGCATGATCGAGGACCACCTACACCACCACCTTTAAGCAGTCCAAATCGTACAGCTTTAATGCCAATTATGCAGTCATCTAAAAAATCAAAGCAACGAGATGATTCTGTTGGGAAAGGTAAGCATAGGAACAGAGATGCTTCTCCACTATTACTTTCCCGTAATTCAGGATCAAGCGTACAATCTGTGAAACTTCTTGGTTCACATCGTTATTTGGCTGAAGAAAAAGCAGCTGACAAACATCGATCCGATGATAGATCAAAACTTTATTCACGGAAAGATGCAGATGAATTACTTCCATTGCATAAAAGAACTGATAGTCGTGAAAGAGGTGGTAAACGGTCACGGTTATCACCTCGAAAGGACAATCGGAAAGGTTCTATATCTCCTCATAAGGACAGATATGAATCTGATTTATTATCTAATGTCTCACGTAAAATGTACATATCATCGGTGCCTGACAAAGAAGAAAAAAGTGATCGACATAGAACTTCCATTTCTCCAACAAGGAGTGAAAGGAGAAAAGGAGTTAGTGAAATGGAAAAGAAACGAGAAATTAGGGAAGTTTCACCAAGACTTCATGATTCTCGTCGGGACAATCAGTATCGCAGCAATGATTATGAGAAACGAGGTAACGAATTGAAAGTTAAACGACTTCTCTCTCCAGATACAAAGAAAGGTAGAGAAGACCGAAATCGTGATCACAGTCAAAAAGATAGAAACATTGATTATGAATCTAATTTGTGGTCAGCTGATCATGTAAGTATTTTATTGTTTTATTTTTTCCTGCAGTTTCTACATTTTAAGCTTTAAAATTGTTTTTAGAATTAGTCTTTCTAAGATTTTTTTATTTAACTGTAAAATGTTATTTATTCACTTAATTATAAAATTATTACTTTTTTGGTTTTTTTCTCTAATGGCGGGCACTTGCCTATGTCAGCATCGACTACTTCTAAGGCCAGATGTGGTGGTCTCTATATTATGGAGGCACCTAATACATGGGCCACCATTGCCTCCTATGAAGGGACAGACAATTTTTACAGCTATGCCTTCTACGGGACGGCATAATATTATTACTAGGAATAAAAATATTGCAAATAAATAGTATTAGAATTTTGCTTGAAAGTGCTGCCTTCTTTTAGACTTTTTTTATGACGAATTTTAGTTACAGTTCATTTAAATTGCATCGTTCCCAGATGTAACACTTTCTAGAATCGATATCCGTGGCGTAGTACCTTAGGCCTACTCGATGTCTTACAGGGTAACAGTGTTTAAAAGTAGTGTAAGAGGAGAGGAGGAGGGGCTAGATAATTAAGAATGTAATAAGATATTTAAACAAGTGAACAATATCCATGCAATGAAATTATTTTAAAAACTTTCAAATATTAATGTCTTAGTTTATTCTCAGGTACCACTAGTATCCATGGTACTGTTAAAACATTGCCATACAAAAAAGCTTATTTCAAAGTTCAGTAAAACAGAGCATTTGTATTATGAAAGATTACAGGTGAAAGCAAAGTAAAAAAGGTCCATACAATAAACACAGTTCTATTTAACTGTTATAAGAAATTCAGTAAAATATGTACTTCTTCATTGTTTATTATTCATAACATATATTCATAACATTCATATCATATCTTCAAACTAATGTGTGAGAGGTCAGAGATTTTATAGTGTTTATTATTTTCATAGTATCATTTAACACTGTCATAAACGAAGGCATTTTTCTCAACATTTGTGTTTGTCTATTAAGAATGCAATGACTGCTGCTATATTTTTTGGCATATCTTTAATTTTAGCAATGGCTTCTGTATTCTAACCTGTCATTGCACTACACACTTTCCCATGATATTTCATTTGATGAGAAGAATTCTTTCAAGAGATTAAATATATCATGTCCCAATATCTGGTTAATAGTGGTCTGCAAAGAAGAAGCTTCTTTTGATAGCTTTGTAAGTAAGCATAACAAGCATACACATATATTTCTTCACGCATACACTTGATAATTTCAATTGTACAAAGTTTAATGTGGTATGAGTTTTACCTCCTTTCCTGTGGAGTGTCTGAATCTGCGCAGTGGTATGAGTTTCACCTGTCGGAGTCTGTGCGGTAGTATGAGTTTCACCTGCTTGAGCTACGTGGTAGATTATTGGTTAGGAAGGTTCCAGTACTTTTTCACTTTTTTTTTTTTTTTTTAGTATATGGTGTTATAGTTTTCTGTAAAGTTGAAAATTTCTTTGGACGTCCTCTTGAAAACACCAGACAATTGTTTTTGTTTTTTCAATTCCGAATGGTTTTTCTCGAAATGGCATCAAAGTTTAACGAAGAACACAAAATTCTTGGCTAATATGTTTCTGAAAATCATTCTGAGAAGCCAACCAACATTTGTTTCTGTGAATCTACATTTAAGTGACTTCTTTATATTTTTGCTTTTTATTATGGGTGTCTTCCCCTTCTATCCCACTTCTGTTATATTCTGCAAACTTTTACTGCGGCAGTACAATAGATTCGGAAATGGCCTCTTTTTTGAAAAGCTGTTCTGAAAGATTAATTGTGAAGTGCATTGCTTTGTTATAATCTTTTTTTTTTTCTCGGCTCGTCTTCTTTTGTCCTTTTGGTAATATTTACAAGTAATGGAGTGAGCATCTATTTTCTTCAAAGTAGCTGTTTGAAGCCAGCGATCCATACCTAAAAGAAAATCATGCATAACAGAATTAAAATACTTGTAGAGACATTAATTTTTGAAGCAGGAGTGCATGAAAAATTAGCAATGCCCTTGCCGGGACTTGAACCTGGACTTCTCGAATATGTTCTGAGTTTGCTACTGTTACACTACAAAGGCATGCAGAAAGGAGGGAGAAAATACCATATATATACTTACGTACTTGGAAACTATTAAAAGCACCTAAGCCAATCAATAATATAACATTTTTTTATCAGAAATCTGTTGTAGAAGTTCAGGATTCAAACATATGAGAACAAAACAATAAAACTTTAATTAAAGATTAAGTATGCGATTTACTTTTTTTAAATCTACTTTTACTCAATCAGAATATGTAAATAGGAGAATTTTTAAATAACATAAAATTTTAATTTGAGGGCACGAGAGCCAGTGTGTATCCAGCATGAGTCTGTTTGTGTCTAACTGGTGATGAATCCTGCCTTTGCTTTCAATATTAAGTAATAATTCCTGAAATTAATTGAGCCATGTTCTAAGATATAATTTAGATGGGTAAACTATAAATAATTAAATTCCATGTTGGCTTTATTCCCATGAGATAGAGAAATTCATTTTTAGTTGTTAATTTTTTTCTGAACTTCAAACATAATATGTTTTTAGTTGATTTTTATTTCTGTTGTATTCATGTATAGTTCTGATATTGGTGAAAGCCTGGATGAAAATGTCTTTGGCAGACTAGAAGGGTAGAAATAAGCTAAGGTTAGCTTAACCTTATACACATGCTAAGTCCACAAGTAAACCATGGAAGTGCAAATAGATTTCACAACTAAACCTTACAAAGTGAGAAAATGCTCAGATAACTCATGGAGAAATCATTAAGAAGTCACAGTGTTATTATTATGAAAATTTAATATGAAGTGACATAACTAGTAAATCTCTATTTGTGTTGGACTGAGTTTCCAAAACGCTTTGAGGAGATTCAAGCAGTTCTGTTAGAGTAGAAAATAAGCAAGAAAATTCTTGAATGTGCAATTCTAAGAAGTCACTCAAAACATTCAACTCTAAAAGGGGGCATTTCATATGCAGCGGACAACAGAATGTGCTGTACAGGTCAGTACAAAGTGGGGCAAGAAACTCTTAAAACATGCTCTTATTTCTCTCATGTTTTCAAGATATATTTAATGGAATTAAAATTGTTTAAAAGGGTATTTTACTAAAGCAAATAACAATTTTCAAGCGCTTAATTATGTATAAACTAAATTTTTACAAAATGTGTAGTTAGTAAAAAACAGAAGTTTATCCAGGAAAACTTACTTCATTCACTTTTGACTATAAACTAAATTTTTATATGCACTTTTGATTAATAGAAGTAAATATAAACTAAAATTGGCATGCTTTTTACTTATCACAAATAAGCATGCTTTTTTACTTATCACAAATAAGAAGTTCATTTGGAAAAACCTCCTTATCCTTCGTCATTACTGTCACTCTATTCTTAGGTGCTAGATTTTTAGAGTTTGAAGATCCATCAAATGTAAAACTCCTTTCAGCAAATTTTCAAATTACCTTTTAGGTGGCATTAGCAACTTTGTTGTTAACTATAAAGGGATCAGAGCTCAATAAAATAAATTAAAAATAAAGTTAAAAATATATGTTATATAATATATAAATTAAAAATAAAGTTAAAAATATATGTTATATAATATATAAATTAAAAATTATAAGTTAAAAATATTTCCAGTGCATTGTTTTTAACAACATCTTCTTGAATTTTGTTTTGATATCATTTAGAAAATCTTTTGCACAGTTCCTGAGCGTGCTGTTTTGATTGGTCAATCAGCAGCAAGGCAGAGGATATCATTTGAAACATGCATATAAAAAATGTGTAAACCAGGAATAGAATGTGATATAAAATACTTAGCCGTACTGTGAGTTTGTTCTTTGAGTTTACCGATGTAGATTGTGTGATCTACTTCATATAAATGTTAAAATAATTTTCTTTTTTTAAATCAAATTAATAGCTATCTTTGAACTGGGGAGAGGAGGTCTAGCCATGTGTCAATCACTTGAATTGACAAAACCATGCTTTAATTTGTTCCTAATTAATCCTCATTTTTCTAAATAACCTTTTTTTTTTAAACTAAAAATTTTTGAAGTCTCTTTGAGATTGTCACTTCTTTATTGGAAACTTATTAGCTAAGCGTTAGCAGTCATTTTAAAAAAATGTATCTATTCATGTAATATTGATATTCCAAATTGTAAGCTTTAAATATTTATTTCTCTGTTCATCATTCTGTCAACAGAATTAAGCTCTTATATTTTTGTGAACCAAATATAACATTTCTGTATAGATGAAATACCAGTGATAAAATTACATACCATCGATAATTTAAAAAAAAATATGACTCATTGAAATTAATGTGTTATGATGTGAAACAGTATTGCACTGATGTTTGATTTCTTTACCTACCCTATTTTTTTCTTTTACAGAAATTTATATTGAGATTCTTTAATGAAATATTTAAAGGCCTACAATATTTCATACTAGATTACTTTAAATATTACTTTGCATACTAGATTTACATCTGTCTTGATCACAAACTAAAAAGCTACAAAATATGTTATAAAAACAGCTGAAATATTGGCTTCAGATCCATAGAATTACTAATTTATAAGAACTGTATCCTGAAAAACCATTGAATTCCTACTTTGTAATTAAAGAATGTTTTCCCAGTTCATATTGGCAGCAAAATTGCAACACTTTCCTGCCTAGTAATAAAATGTTCAGCAATATAGGGGAAAAATTAAAGCATTCTTTTACTGTAATATATATTTATTAGCGTTGTGCAAAGTGCGTGATCTGACTAGGAAACTAGCTAATTTTGTTTGTATTGTTTTTATGTTATTTTAAAACTGCAAATTTTAACCACCATAATTCACATGTTTTATTACTAAGTACAAAATAATAAATACGTATCTCTACATATAATAAAAGAAAGAGTCTGTCTGTCTGTGTGTGTGTGTCTTTCGTTCGTGCAGCGCGTAAGCTAATAAGATCCACGGCTACGAAATTTGGTACGTAGGTGCATCTAGACAAGAGCCAGTGCACCTCGAAGCGGATTTTTTTTGAAATTCGAATTTTTTTTTATTTTATGTTTTGGGACGAAATCGCGTCATTTTGAGACATAATGGGCTATAGGAAAGCGAGATTTTACTCTACACACTCCATTTTCACATCGTCATGAAACGTAGGCACTTAGCTATTTTACAAACTTAAAATAAATTTTGTGTTTGAATAAATCGATTAAATACGAATTTATTTAACAAAGGGAGCTTAACACCTTTTCAACGGGATTTTTTCTAAAGAAGTTTATTTTTAAAAAGGTACAGTTTATTTTTCTTTGGTTTTTGGACACGTTAAACTTTCATCCTTGCGACTGCTTTTACAAAAAGAATTTTGAAAAAATGATAATATTTTGTATTTTTAAAAAATTTTTTAAATGAAGCTTCCGAGTACACTTCTCACATCTCACATCTTTAAAAATGTGATTTTGGCAACAATTTTTTTTTTTTTCTTATTGTTGTTGATAGATTTTTGATGATATCGCGTCTTTTTCAATAGTTTCTTTTAGAAATATGGGTTTGGCAACAATTTTTTCATCGTATTTCTTATGTCACTGTTTTTAAGAGAATGGCATATAAAATAAATTTCTTGATAAAATTATTGAAAACATTGCAGATGGTAGCACAAAAATTTATTCTGACCGTTGGAAAGGTTACCAAACAAATAGAACAGAAAAAGTAGGATTCTTACATGCTAAAGTTAATCATAAATATAATTTTATTGATTCTGATACAAGAGTTCATACACAAAGAATTGTAAAAATGTGGGCAGTGCTAAATGGAGAAACAAGAGACATAGGGGGACAGAGAGACATCATTTAGAATCTTATTTAGAAGAGTTCATATGGCGACAGCATTGGGTCAAAGAAAATAGAGACTGTTTTTGTCAAATTTCATTGTCATTTTTTATATATATATATATAATACATTTTTATTGATTTTTTTTTGCATAAAGTTGTTCTACAGAGTAAAATTGTGTGTGGAATTTTTTGTTTTTTGAGTTTCTTTTATGTTATTTTTTGCTTATTTCACTGTCTGTAAGATATTGAAAAGTTTTGCATAATTTTGTTTCTTCAACGGAAAGTTGGTTAATTTTTTTTATTAGGATAATTAATATTTGTATTAAGGGATATAGCTTATTTCATCGTAATTTTTTTTTCTTGAAAATATAGGATAAAATATCATTAATTATACTTTGCTTTTCAGAACTTTTTGTATTCTTTTATGTTATTTATTGCTGATTTCACTGTTTTTAAAATATTGAAAAGGTTTCAGTGATTTTTTTAGGAAACAAAGTTCTTAGCCTCCTTTATAACATTTGAGTTATGATTTTGCAAAGGGAAGTTGGTTAATTTATTTATTAGGATAATTAATATTTGTATTAAGGGATATTGCTTATTTTACTGTAATTTTGTTATACATAATAATTTTTTTTTATGAAGTTGTTCTGCAGAGTAAAATTTTACACAGTTCTTAAATTTAACGTTTGGTATTCCCTTCAGCCATTTTTCCGGTACATTTAAAAGCCAGACGAAGGCTGGCAGTAAAGCTGCTAGTTAATGCATACTTACTTATTCATAAGAAAGTCAAATTAATCAAAATAAATGGACTGTAAATCAGATCTAATATTTATCCTACAAAAGGCTTCAACTAAAAATTCCCGTGCAAGAAGCAGCAGTCAAATCAGTCTCGTGCAGAATGGTGATTTCTATTTAAGGTGTAAGGAGGGAAATCTATTATGCGATTTAAAACTATCATATTTATATTATAAACCTTTCACATTATAAATATTTTGTTTCATATTATAAATAACAGGAGTGCCTTTTCTAGCTGAGGACGTGTCATCTGCTAGAAGAGATGCAAAATTTAACTTTGTAGTTTCCTGTTCAGAATGACATTTCTAGTTTTTTTTTAAAATTTATTTATTTATTTTAATTTTCATTATATGTTTTCTTATTCTTTAATTTCTTCAGTTTTTATGTATTTTCTTTTCCTGAAGCAGCAACAAAGCCTCTGGGAACTATAACTGGAGCATAGTCCATAGGGCTCTGCAGAGCACAGTCTAGGAACCGTTAACTTAGCAGATGCTCTTAGTGAGCAAAATATTAGAAGCAGCAATGATTTTTATCATATGTTTGAATGTATTTAAATTTATGTTACATATATTAGTAACTTAAAATTAAATTTAGTTTATAACCTTTAACTGTAGGTGATTAAACTAATTATTTTATGAATAACAAAATTAAAGTTGTATTAATGTAATGCATACAAAGTTATTAAATTAAGTCTCTTAAATGGAAGCTTGAATTTTTGTATTAAGTTATGCTTGAATGAAATATTTATTTTCAGAGAAAGCCTAATGCATCTTCTACAGGACATAGAACTCCTGAGCTCAGAGGTCGACAAGATGTTATTCCACAGTCTTCCTTATCAAGGAATGAACGATCTCGTGAAAGAGATCCTGATCGAAAAAAACGAAAAGACAGGGATCTATCTGTTAGATCTGTTGAAGATCCTGAAAGAGCTCGATTATCACCTTCTCGAAGGTATAGAAAATGAATTTCCAGTATTTTCATTTGTAAAAGATGTACACTTATTTAAATTTTTAATATTTAGTTTCCTTATATAATTAAAATTAGAAATTTTTGTGATAAATAATACTGTACTGTGATGATTCATGAAAAAGCAGTTTGAGGAACAGCAAAATATGGTATTATTTAGACATATTTAAATTTTTAATATCTTTATTGCTTTAATATACTGTACGCCGCTGGTTTGTCTAAAGGTAGTTTAAGGAAAAGCAGAATTAGGTATAATTTTATGTCATAATTAAAAAAAAAGAATAAAGTTTAAAATCATAATCTCTAACTGTAAAATGTTTCTTATCTAAAAACAGAACTGTTTCAAGTAAATGCAACCCAAGTTATGGGTTGCAGTTTAATACTGTAAAGAGTAAGAATGTGTATGGCACTGCTGGTCATTAAAATTGCTGCACCAGGAAGGAAAGCAAATAGCAGAAACTTATGTGTTGTATATATGCAGTGCAGTGGAAAGATTAAATCTGCAGCTTCCACCTCTGGCAGCAACGATGACTTAACTGGCTGGGCATTGAGTCAAACTGAGTTTGGATGATAGGTATGGACACATCATTCCATGCATCATCTGTGCCAGTGTTTGTAAATTTGCTGGTAAGTCATGGTGTGCTATTCTGTCAGAAACCCATGAGCAGATGTTTTCAGTTGGTAAGAGATTTCGAGAATGTGCTGACCAGGGTAACAGTTAAACACCATTTGCGTCAAGAAGGTCAGCACAGCATGCATTATGTTGTCAAAAGATGCAAGCTGGCAACAATTTGTTCTCCTCTGTGCCTTCACACACAGATATGTCCATTATGATTATCACCAGGATTTATTCAGAAAGATGACATAATCCCACTTCTGCATCTAGTGTCATCGATCATCATACCACTGTTTGGCGCACCACAATGTCAAGGAAAGCTTCAACTATGGTTCCCATGCTGACAGACCATAGCACTGCCGGCATCATTGAACCATGCATACACTTGTTTTCTGTGCAGGAGCAAGTTTCTGACTTGGGTATGCAGTGTGGCTGTATGATGTTTGCAAGGCTGAGAGTTCAATGTGTCTGTCCACCCAGGCATTAGTGGCCCGGGACTTGCTCAGATCGTGCATGTTGTTCAGTATGACTTTCTTGGGCCCATCGGTTCTATGTTCACCTCATAGTCTTGGGTCCTGACCAACACGAGTAGTAAAGTTCTAATAATGTCAGAAAACAATGAACTTCAGACCTGATAGGCCATGATCCTGCTGTGATTTAATCCAGCAGGTCTAGATAGGAGTTTCTCTTACTCAAGGCATAACATAATATTTACACAAGCAATGATGAAATGCAGTTTCCAAATAAGAAACTCATAGTGCAGTCTTCCCATTTATATACAGTGTAGACGGCATTACTTGTACCTGCTGTCCACACATGTGCTGAAATGCTAATCATTTGCATATCCCAGCACATAGTACGTTTCATGCAAATCTGACAATTGTTTCATTTTGCCTTGATGGTATAGCAATTTGAATAGCCAGGGGTGTGGTTATTATCAAAGTCAAAATGAAACTTTTATTTCATTGCATGTGAAAAGAAAATATGAACAGTGAAAAATTTTTAAATTTATCATGTGGAATAATTTATTAAAATGAGCAAAAGCATGTGTAATTTAAAAAATAAAAGCTTGTCTAAGTACGTATCACATCATTGTTCCCAATTAAAAAGCCTTTTTTTTCCCCCCTTTCCTCCTTCTTAACTGATCTACAAATATAAACATATTCTAATCTTTTTTATATGTTAACCACATATTTTTAATAATTATTAAGCTCATTTATTTATATGTTCCATTTAGCATATCTTTTCAACATGTAATTTAAATTAGAATTAAGAGAAGATTTTAGATGAAGTAAATGTTTTTATCATCTATTAGTATTAACTGTGTAACTTTTCGTCATTGTTTCATGGAAAAGTTGCGAGTTTCCTGCCTTTTAAAATGTGAGGCTTTAACTCAAAGCAGACGAAAAACACTAACTATTACTATTATTCTTTTAAGAAGGAGTTTAAAAGTCTTGAGTATCTTGTTAAGCAAGTTGTACCAACTATATTTCTTTTCAGTAGTAAAGGCTAATTAAATTGCACATTATGTTCCAAATGACTGTTTGTACCAAGAATTTCTTCCTAAAATGTTACTCTTAACAATGTTCGTCAGTTAAGAGGTATAAATATTATCAAATAAGCAATTAAAAGTGTTAAAATATGTAAGTAATACATTTTAAATTTAGAATCTTGAGTACAGTATAAATAAAAAGTATCAAGAAAGAAAGTGTTATTTTACTGTACAGTATGTAACTTGGATTGTTGTCTTTGAGGCACATATGGATGGGGTGAAGGTGAGAGTAGTAGATATGGCGTGGCGATGATTCAACATCTGACTTGCCCTCTGAAGATTCATCAATAAATAAAGGAACATTTGTGATGAGAAGGCTGCATGGGAGATGCAGGGAGACAGGATATTAGACGGGCCAAGAACACCAATTTCTGATGTGTCTTTTTTAAGTAAATAGGTGTTTAAACTTGTCTGAATAAGTTTTCTTTTTGTCGTAAATAAGATGATAGCACAGCACAGGGCATCATGCACAGCATGTAGGGCATCATGCACAGCAGAGTTTATTTTAGCAATCCTCTCAGAATTTGGGTCTTGATTTTGCAAATAAGTGAGACATTCTTCAAACTTGGAAAATGCTACAGCCATTAACTTTGTAGTGAACTTTGTAACCGAGAAAGGCTCTTCCTTTTATCTCCTCGTCTTTGAGATACATCAGGTCTCTTAATTGCATTGGCACTGCACCTTTGACATGTTCAAGTATAAGATATATTCTCTTAAAAATTGCTCAAATCGTCAAATGGTTCACACTGTTCAAATGTGCAACATTCATCATTTTCTTACCGCTTTGAGGTCTTTTTATTATAGTGAGTTTTGTTTTAAACAAAATGGTTTCTTTTTTGGCACTATCAATTATCAGCATATAATTTTCTCTTCTCACCAGCTATTTTTAATATTGTGTGTTTTCTTTCTGATTCTGACAAATTTCACTCTTTGAAAACCGGTTTGTTCATATCTGTGAAAGCTCATGTATTTGCGTTACATAACAGAAGCAAGGAGCATTTGCATTACATATCAGAATGGACTTGATCAGATGGCTTTTGTGATTGAGATTTTACTTAAAGTTAAGTGTGATTTTCCACTGAGTTTCACCATATTTCATCAAAGACCTATGAGTAGAATTCCACTCAAATATGACTAGTCGCATTCAAATGGCAATTAGAGACTTCTAATATTATAAGCATTGAATCAGCATTATTACTGATTTGATAAAGTAATCCCATATATTTAATACCTGCTTTATAACTCTATAACGTAGTGTATATACTTTTGTTATTCAAGAAAGAAAACTGTATTATTAAAAGGGCAGAAAAAGTAGAACGTGTTTTTATTCTCCCACTCTTTTATTTACCTGGTAATAAATGATGGTACTACAAGGCTTGATTATTTTTTGGACCCTTATTAAAATCAAACTGAAGCTTTGTTTTATTGTATGCGAAAAATTTATCCAAAGCCTGAAATTGCAACTATGGAATCTTTTCAGAAATTAAAACTGAAGTATTACCTTATTAAGACAGGGAATTATATATATATATAACCCCTGCTAATTTGTAAGTGTATTATTATGTGCAGATTAAGTTTATTGAAATTATTACAAAAATTATTATAATCTGTCTTTAAATCTTTTGTGACTGCACACCTTTGTTTAAGACGCTCATGTGGAATGGAAGGGAATCGAAGGCAGTTATTGCACAGGACGGGGGGTTTTGCATAGCTAAGCCTAATTTTTCAGAAAAAAAAAGTTTCACTTCTAGCATCTTAATTTTTGGTACCATTTTAGATTATTACTTGAGCTCTTATGTGTTAAAATTAATATTTAATAACCTTTTTTTCTTTATTTTACATAAAGATCTATTTAAAAAATTGCTTATCTTGTAAAATAATTTTCGGAAGCGCTATTTAAATTATTCCAAACCTTTAATTGATAAAATTCATCAATAAAGTTTAAAATTAATAAAACAACAAAGTAAAGATTATTTACAGTAAGAAGTAACAAAATTTAAAGTGAAGACTGTGTTAAATCTTGAAGCACGCAGAAATATCACTTTCTAACTCTTTAGAAAATGAATTATCACTCTCATCTGAGTTAATAAATGGCATACGAGTGTATTCCTCCTCTGATAAATAGCACCTTTGCGCCACAGTAGACTGGAGGTGGCGCTTTCCGAAATAAAAAGGGTAGGACCTGAAATATATCTGAAGGCAATGCAAAATGTAACAAAGCTCCACATAGTAACCCTAAAAGACCATACATAGTAGAGGAAAAAATATAATAAAGAAAAGGAATTTGATATAAATCCGTGGCGATTTAAAGAGCCCACCTTTATTTACGCTTTTTTCCTTCCCATCCTTGCAATAGTTGATGAGTAAAATACCAAAGTCAGGCAGAATATATACAAACTCAAGCTCAGGAACCTAAAACTTGTGTTCATTTCAAAAGTGATGGACATGGGAGGCCATCTAGTGGTCTTAAAAAAAAACGTTCCAGTGTAAAATGCGTATACGCATCGGCCATTCCCTGTATTCAATCTCTAGTGATGCGTGGATGGGACACCCCACTGTAAGAGACTTTCTAAGGGAATCTGTATATGGGTTACCTGTCTGGAAAGGGTTAAAGATAAATTGAAGAAATTAAATAATGTAAATACTGCTAAATTCTTAATATAGAATATTTCTATATACTTTTATTTTTTTTAATCATTTGAAAATTCAGATACGTTGTTTACCTTTAGAAACTTTCACTGAAATTTGATTTCATTCTGACATTAAAACATAATTTTTTTATAATTTCTAATTTTTAAATTTTTTTATAATTTCTAATTTTTAACACTTTTTACATGAATGTTTGCATTAAAACTTGTGCTTACATAATTTTAAATTACATTTTATAGACGCTATAATAAAAGTATTCATTGTTCTATGTTTATTGCAAGCAAAATAAAGGAATTTTTTTATTAAAAAATTTTAAGGTCACCATCTCCCATTCATGGGCATCACACAGTAAGAGAAATTGAATCACTAACAGGTAATAGAGGTCGAATATATGACTCAGAGATACCTCCTGGGGAAAGGGATTATGTGTATGGCTACGATCCCCTCCATGATCCATATATGAACGAACGACTTTTGCCTTCTGATTATGATCCAGATGTTATACGAGGACCTTCCCTGTATCCATCTGATGTATATCCAGACACTCGATATAGAAGAGATGTAAAAGAACCTGGTGCAATTTTGGACAGATACAGTAGCAGAGATGTTGTGTCACCACGAGAAATATTGCCACACAGAGATATTATTAGCCTTACTGGACGTAATGAAGGTTGTATTTTTTAATATTTTTATATATGCAAATTATACCTCTTTAATCTGATGCTTTGGCTATGTCAGCTCTCATGATCTGGCATATTTTGAATCTGTTGCTGTTAGAATGTAAAGCTGTTAGAGTGTCAATATTAAAAGCTTTGTTACCACAGCAACAAAATGTTTTAATTTTACAATTCCTGTTAATATTTCAAATCCAACTGTATGTAACCTTTGAGGATGTCAACTGAAAGATTGAGAAGTCCAGAAGTTGGAGCTAGTATTAATTAGGTTAAACATAAATCATTGTCTATGTTAAAACGTGAATTACTTTGGAAGCTGTAAAATAATTTCTTTAGACATTGTGGTATTAGATAGTTAATGTGTATAACTTAAAGCACAAATGACCAGCTGATTTCCTCTAAAGCTATGTGCAACTTGTGAGGTCCTTTTCTGCTGCCCACAGGTATGAAGCAAAATTTATTATTAGAGATCACAGATTTTTCACATTTTTGGCACATTTTCCTAAATCGTTAATTTACTTTGGTAAGGTTGCTCTTCCCTTGAGTACTCAAATTATTCTTACTAAATTGCATTATATTTCAAGTCTTAAGATTTAAGAATATCAGTATTTTCAAGTAGATTGAAATCTTTTTTTTTTTTCGGGGGGGGGGGGTCTGTGTGTGTGTGATCTTGCATTTATTCTTAGTGTTTTCTAACTATGAAACTGTTTACAAAGATCATAAAATTCTTGAAATAACTGGCATTTGTTATTTCAGGATATCTTCCTAGATATTTGCTAAACTTAATATTGGATCATATAAAAAGTCTCCATGCTGTTTTGGTACATTTTTGAACAAAAATTTTCTTTATTGAAAATCAATTTTAATCAAGTACATATTGACCATTATTATCTATGACCTTTTGCCATTTTTCGAGTAGCTTCATAATTCCAACGGTGTAGAACTTCTGTGGTTTACGTCAAAAAACTTGGCCAAGTGATTTTCAGCGGTTATTCGGTCGGCCAATTTTTTACCATCAAGAGAGTTTTGCAGAGACTGAAAAAACTGGTAGTCAGACGAAGCAAGGTCCGGGCTATACGAAGGTTGCATCAAAACTTCCCAACCAAGCTCTTTCAATTTGTTTCGAGTCATCAAAGATGCATGTGGCCACGCATTGTCATGATGGAACACAACTTCCTTTCTGTTGCCCAATTCTGGTCGCTCTTTCTGGATTGCTTCATTAAAATGGTCGAGTTGTGCTCAGTACAAGGAAACTTGATGGTTTCGCCAGGTTGCAGCAGCTCATAATGGATAATTCCTTTCCAAGCCCATCAAACACTGAACATAACCTTATTTGGTGACAATCCAGGCTTCCAGGAAGTCATTTGTCAAGGGACACAGACCTTTGACCATGATCGCTTGAATTTGATATTCTTTTATTTCACCCATTTTTCTTTGCCTGTAATGATTCGCTTAAAAAATGGTTCGGTTTCATTGCGTTTCAGCAGCATTTCACAGATGGTAATTTGGTCAATCAAATTTCTTTGCTTTAATTCATGTGACACCCAAACGTCGAACTTTTTTTTGTAGCCTGCTCTTTTCAAATGATTCCAAAGTGTCATGTGGCTAATGTTTAGTGCCTCTGCTATTTCCTGACAGCTTGCGTGCCAGTCTTGTTCTACCAAATGTGAAATTTCATCGACTTTTTCAGTGACTGGCCGACCAGAGCGAGGTGCATCTTTGATATTGAAATTTCCGGAATGGAATCAAGCAAACCACTCCCAGGTTACTCGTTTACTCACAGCATTCTGACCGTACACTTCACAAATTTTTCGGCATGTTTTTGCAGCATTTCAACCTTTTTTATAGAAAAAAAAAAAAAATCACATAGCGTATTTCTCACTCATTTTGAAATTCATATAAACTTTTACATGAAGAACGAATTAAAAAACCATCTTCACAGACAATGGGAGCTGAATATCACCTTTTAAGCACATGTTTGTTTGAGACAATCAGGTGAGTGTTGCCAGATATGTAGGCATCAACGCCATCTAGTGGCAGAAAAGCATGGATAGTTTTTATATGACCCATATATTATATGACCATTATATTATATATCTGGTATCACTAAGACAACTTAAAATTTATGCTTAAGGGTACAGAAATTGGCTGTTGTTGACTAAAAGAAATAAAGAAAGAAAGATTAAAAGTTTTTTTTTCCCTCCCCAGAAAATAAAGCAATTAAAGTTTAAATTAATGAATACTTTGTAAGATGCAAAGAATACAGGCTTAAACAATACAGAATGGGTTAAGCTTTTATGTAATGCTAGTGTAAGCATTTCTAGGATGGTAGTTGTTGAGCAAGCCAAACATTTTTATAGAAAATAAATTAAAATAAAATTTGATTGTGAACGTTGATGCAAACTTAATTAAAATACATCTTGAGACATGGAATTTTTCAGTGTAGTGTGTAATGAAAAGCATGTGCGCTGACATGGAAGCTCCAACAAAGTTAGCATAATTAACAGCAACAGAAACCTTATCTTCAGAGCAAGTACCTTTTCCAATGCAATATGCAGCAGCAGTGCAGGTTGATGAATCTGTCCTATAATCACAGGAACAGAAAGAGATCTGTGGAATACCAATCACAATTGGTCATACAGGTATATCCCACTTCACTATACCAGCAGTACTGCATATACCTATACCAGTAGACAGGACTAGTACTGGAATATAGGTATAGTGAAGCTGCACCCTAATTTTGATGGAGAATAACCCTGGGAACAGATTCGAAGTTCTACTGCTCCTTTGTCTGTACCACCAAACCATTTAAGAGGACGTTTGGCTCACTACCTGCACTGTCTGTGGGAACTTTATGCTCCACAGACACACTACACTTACAAATATTCATGCCTTCCTGGGACCAGTGATGTGGCAGTCAGCATTGCTAACCACTATATCGATCAGGGCAATGCCTTATACTGACAGCATAATGTTAAAAAACTCTGCCTACTACTGTAGAACCTTTTATCTGGAGGGGAAGATTTCAGAAAAGATTAGAAATTCTTGGCTATTGCAGTGCTGCAAGCGCATACAGAACCATGCTGATGACCTAAGATGCTTAAAAAGGGTGAAACTTTTTCATTTATGTACTGTAGTTGTTAGAAGTAAACTTTTCCTTGAATATGTTTAGAATCTAGAGTGCTCTGCAGTTCTGCTGGAATTGATCCAAAATACAAAATATTTTTTATTTAAAATAATTTTTCCATGTGTTTCAGAGAGGAACTTTTTGCAAAAGATAAATATTTTTTGTTTATATTTTTATTTTAACTGTTTCTGTTTAATTTATCCCTGTGACTAGAGCTGAATTATGTTTATTGAAACATAGATGCAGATCTGAGTTCATGCAGTTTTTACTGCTCACACTGAATAATGGAGAAGTTTTTACAGTTTACAAGAAGTTGTTAGCTTCTTTCTAGAATATTGCTGAAAAAATTATGTTAATTTCTGTTGCTAAGTTAGTACAAGTTTTGAATAAAATGTAATTCAAGTTTTATTCTAAATGTATACCAATCTAAGGTTACTTTTTTGCCTTGATTATGTCTGTGTATTTGATTCAAAGGAATTACATTAATAGAAAGCCAAACTTAATTGTGTTCATGATGCTGATATGGCAATATCAATAATGAATTATATATAATGGCAAACATGTAGTTTCATTAACTTGTAACGAGTAATAGATTTTAATCAGATTTTAATACTGTGCAGAGAGGAGAAGAAATGCCATTAATTTATCTATGATTTTAGCTATTTACGATTTTTAAATTTTGAACAAAGATTAAAAAAAGCATTTCAGTTAGATATGTTAAATTTTAATTTTATAAATCTTTTGTACAATTTTTCAGACTTATATTCCTTGTTCTGCATTTGAAAATATTGCTATTAAGCAAATATTCTGACATAAACAGTTAAATTTTCCATTATATTGTTACAAGAATTGGGTTATATTTTTTTTCTCGTTATTTATTTTACTATCCTCACATTCATTAGATTACCTCCCTGACATACCAATTGATGATCGTAGCTATGATGAAAGATGGCCTAGAGGAAGAGGGAGAGATGATTGGGATACTTATCCTGCTGTTACACCAGCTACGCTTCCTCCACATGTAGCAGCATGTGAGAATTTTTTTAATTTCCTTGTTTTAAGTATTTGTTGCTTTTTTTTTTTTAATATTTAGCGATAGTACTGCATACTTAAGCATATAAAATTCAATTAGAAAATATCCTTTCATATTTCTTCTCAAAACTATTTTTAATAATGTGTATATATAAATATGAAAAATTAAAAAAAACTGTTACAATAAATAAATAAATGCCTCTCTCTCCTTTTTTTAGTTATTAATTTAAAAATATTTGTATGTATTTTTAGGATAATGTGACAATGCAATTTTTGTTTTTCAAATTGTTGCTGAGGTTACAATGTGGTGAATATTATACAGTACAAAGTTCAATATCCAAACATTCAGTGTACGATATGATCTAAAATCTGAACCTCAAAGCCACCAATAACTTTATTTTTTAAAGAGATTTTTTTTTTTTTTTTGTATGCTTTACACATATGCATTTGATCTTTTCCTTCCACAATAAAGCAAGTGGGAAGTCCCGATTCTTAACTTCACTTAGGCACTAAATAAAATACTTCGTTATTGAAGAAACAATCATTTTAGCATAAATTGGTGAGATCAATAATTAGGCTCCATTGCTGCACATCTGCTTGACATAAATCTCAAACCAAAACATTTTACATAGAAATATCTTTGATTTTACACCTACTAGTATTTTATACCAATGACGCCAACTTGGCAAATCATTATTTATTATACTTTGCTTTCATCACCACATGTTTATCAACACAAGACAACTTGCATAATGACTCATGCAGTGAAGCCTAATCATTTATTATTTTTTATATTAGTTATTGAATAAAAAAGAGTATAGCAAACTTTTATGCTAACATTATGCTTGGCGATGATTACAGATTTAAGTTAAATGTAAGGAAATGCTGACTGGGAAAAATTAAACAAAAATTTCTTTCCATATACTAAAAATAGATTTTTTTCAATGAAACTCATAGGCCAAAAGATTACATTTAGTGCTGTTTGAATTAAGAATATCTGATTTGTTATTCACATAAATGTAGAACTGGTGCCAGAGCTCGTATGGCCACATTGGATGTCAGAATTTAGGGAAGTCAAAATTTTTGGAATTTAGAGAAGCACCGAGCAACAAAATTAAGGGATGACAAAAATTTTTATAATTTAGGGAAAACACTGGGGTCCAAAATTTGGGGACGAAAAAAATTTAGAACTTAGGGAGGTGCTTTTTAACAGAATTTAGGACCCACAGAGTTCAGGTTGTAAGATATCTAGTGCCAGCCCTTACTAAGCCTTAAGTATATGTGGGAGTTTATTTATTTAGGAGTCAGATTAGCCTTAAGCATGTACAAGAAATAGACATAGGCATAATAAATAACTAATACAATTCATGCTTAATTGTCTGAGTACATGATAGAAGCAAGACAAAATTTAGCGGATCAACTTGTCTTTTGTCTCCAGGCTCATAATACATAGCCAGTAATATATAGCAGATGCCACTAAGCTAGGCTAAAATTATACTTAACTGATTCCAAGGAATTTCAGTCAATATAGCAGATTGCGTAGTTTAATCTTCTAATTTGATCCAGCTTATTATTTTTTGCAAACTGTTATTATTATAGCAATTTTATGAAAATTAAAGCTTGAACTTTCGATTATGTCGGAAAGAGTTTCTTAATTCTGGAGCTGTAGGATCTACCAAGCGGAAACATGTTTCAATGACCATTAAATAAAAAGTGAAATTGCTGCAAAATTCGGATAAAGGCATATCCGTCTCAACATTATGTGAGGAGTATGATAATGGAAAGTCAACTGTATCTGACACAAGAAAAAAGAAAAGCTTTTTGAATTATTGTGGATTCTGGCACCACACTCACAATGAATAACAGATGTTCGTTATGCTAAATGTGACGATCATGACAAAGTGATGATTGAATGGAACAGACAACCTTGAAGCGAGAGCGTACCAGTAACGGGTCCAAAGTTGGAACTATCAACACGGCAATGACAGGACTTGAACAGTGAAACTTTGTAACTGAACAAGAAATCATGTCTGTTTATAGAATTAAACAGAACATATTAGCACAAAAAATTAAGCAACTTAACATTGAAAGAAATGTTTAATAAAATAAACAAATAAATGTTAAGCTTCCCCCCCCAGTCTTTTTCTTCTTTTATTTTCATAAATTTTTATACCCTGTAGGTCATAAATGCTTATTATTTCATAAATCACGATTTCATTTTTTTAAATTTTATAATTTCTATATTCCATCTTACTAGATTTAAAATGATAATCTAATATACAGAAAAATCCGGAATGACCGAAGTCCCGATGAGTCCAGATCTCAGACTTTGTACTGTAAGGTGCTGAACATTATATATATATATAAGTACATCATTTCCAAAAATTACTTATATCCTGTTTGTGTAGGGTGGAAGTGTAAAATTTAATCTCTAGTATCTAGGTACCAGATGTATTGACTGTAGGAGATTTAAGAGTGTTATGCTATGAAACAGAATGTTTTGTATATTTGATCTTGAGACTACTATCCATGTACACTAAATCACTTTTTAAATTTTGGTTTATCAATTTTTTTGTGTTTTTATATGTCATTAACATTATTTTGTATCTTTACATTACTTATCACTTTTCATTCTATTTCTTTTAAAGATAATGGTAAATTGTAGTAGACTTTTGCCATAAAATGCAATATTACCTGAAAAACCAGGTAATTATAATTCCTTAATATCAAACAAAAAACTCATGAATACTTATATATGTTCTGAATATTTATTTTATTTACTTTAAATTTTAAAGAACAAAGAGATCAATTAATTGTACAAATACAAAAATATTTAAATAAGATATGTATAAATACTTTCTTTAGTAATTTAATGTTGTTTAGTTTGTGTTATTGAGAGTAAATACATAGAGAGAGGTTGAGAGTCCTACCAAAGGAGCATACTTGAAGTAAATGAAACAAAATGATTTTAATGGTGCTTTCCTTGGGCTCAACAAAATAGATGAACAAGGTATGTCAATCTATTACTCGTGAGAAAAACCATAAGATTTATAACAGGTAATTAACTAATTGGTATAAATTTGCAATGATAACTACACCATTTAGGTCTACTTTACCATTACTTTAGGTCAGTGGTCGGCAAACTTATTAGCCAAAGAGCCAAATATGAACATTACAACAATTTTAAAAAAAATGGGAGCCAAATCTGCTTGTTTAGTAAACTTTTATTACACTAAATAAAACTAAATTTAATACTTAATAAATATTTATTAATGCGAACAATGTGCTTGCATCTCCTTGGAAAGTTTGAGTAAGTCAGGTTTGTATGTTGTTGTTTTTAATTTTAGGCATGATTCCAAGTTCTCATCAATAAGACGACTTCTCAGTTTACTCTTGATAATGTTCATGCTTGAAAAAGATTGTTCGCATATATATGTAGAACCGAAAAGGGAAAGAACAGCAAACGCGAGCTTTTTCAGCTGATCGTAAGAGTCAGGAATACTATTCCAAGCATTGAAAATGATCATGTCTTCCTTCTCCAGTTCATTCAAAGCAGACCACTTGTGTTGTGAACTAAGATCACATTTTTTCTTCTCCAATATTTCCAATTCAACACAAAGACGTTCGAATTTAGAGCGCCATATCTCCTTGTTTTTTAAATCCAGCAATTGTATTTCAAAGCTACCAATGTCAATTTCAAAAGGAGAAATTTTCAACTCGGTTATCGTAGCATTAAGAGAATTGTTGACAAATGCTAAAGTTGCTCTGCTGTTTTTAAATTCCTGAAACCTGCTGAGAAATGCTTCCCTCATATTTAAAATTATTATTTTAAAATGGTGTTTATCAATAGAGAAATTATTTTCTTGGCGATGCTTCAGCAGGCTCGGACAGGCTCAGAAAGTGAAACAATGTTTCCCTTTCAAAATCCTGTGCAAAAATGGATAATTTGTTTTCGAATGTTATTACTTCTTCTAACATCGAAAAAATTAAGTTTCCTTTCCCTTGTAGTTTACGATTAAGCTGATTTAGATGAGACGTAACGTCTACCATGAAATAAAAGTTTTGGATCCACTGATCGTCTGTTAGTTCTAGATAGTGAACTCCCTTCTCAAGGAGAAATGCTTTAATTTCCGGGAAAAGGGACGCGAAACGTTTTAAAACATTCCCTCTTGATAACCAAACGTACCTTGTTATGAAGCAGAAGATCAGCGTACTCACTCTCCATTTCAAATAAAAATTCTTTGAATTGGCGATGATTAAGAGCTTTAGCTAAAATTGAGTTGATAGTGATAATCACTAATTCCATAACTTTACAAATTTCTTCCGAAAATGTTTGCGCACAAAGCACTTCTTGGTGAATGATACAATGGTAAACAAGTATCTCGTGATTAATTTTTTCTTTCAAAATAGCAACAACCGCTTTTCTTACGCCGGTCATACTTTTGGCTCCATCTGTTGAAATTGACACATTTTTATCGAGGGGAATATGGTGTTTATCTATACACTTAATCATAGCATTGGCGATATCTTCTCCACGTGTCTGACCTTTGAGTGGTAATAATCCTAAAAGTTTTTCTTTAAGGCCTTAATAAGACATAAATCTTACAAAAAGTAAAACTTGTGCTGTATCATTTATGTCACAAGACTCGTCGACTGCTATTGATAAAGCCGAAACCAATTTCAGATCTTCGATATGCTGGGTGGTTATATTCGATATTATTTTTATTGTTCTATCTTTAATATTTTTGGCAGACAATGGTAACTCTTTAATTCTTTTCAGAATATCTGCTTTGTTCATAAAATCCCGAAATAGCTCTTCGGATGCATTTATAAAACAATATTTTATGTATTCGCCGTCTGTGTATGGTTTTCCTCTCTTGGCAATCTCTTGGCTATAAACAAAACTTGCCAAATTAATATTGCTGGAAGATTGCATCCACCTATTAAACGCAGAAGTTCCTCAACTGCTTTCTTCCCTGCATCACCGGTAGGATATTTA